GTGCGGGACGGTTAGACAAAACAAAACTTCAGCCTTGAATGTTGTTGATTCACACTGGACAACTTATTAAACTGTTTTTATGTCTAAATTGTTAATAAAAGTTGTATATTTGTTCAGTTTATAATAATTGCATTCTGTACTGTTGATTTTTTCAAGTCCACTTTCAGTGTAGATGTCTTTAAAATGTTCAAAATTAATTACATTTTTGCCTTAGTTGCCTAAAATGTCTAAATGTAGATCAGTAAATATTGTTACTATGTTTAGTTGACCTGATACAAATGTTTATCATCCAAAAATTGTGTTATTTTGTGGGTCAGAAGCTGAAAAGTTTGGGAACCACTGCACTACAGAAATCAATTTAAAGGGTAATAAAGTAAATATTTTCCTATAATTATTATAAAAACACTAAGTATTTATATTTGTGTAGCCTTTGTTTTCAGGGTTATTAACAAAGTTTGTGTACTCAGACCAGTTATATTTGGGGTCATTGGGGATATTTTGTGGGTCAGAAGATAAAAAGTTTGGGAACCTCTGGTTTAACTAAAACAGCAGCCGTGTTTAGTTGCATTTTCTTTTATAAAACTGTCACATTGGAATAGAAATTAAGTTTTTAGTTTTTTCTCTCTGAAGCAGAAAGAAATCAACTTTTCAAACTGAAGTATTAGTTTAAATATCCTCACCATCACAATAAAAAGCACTGTTATCWCACATTTTCCTAATATGGTGCAGTCTGACTCCAGTTTGTGTGTTTGTTGTTCTGCCTGCAGATCGTTCCTTCACCCCGACCCGTTCAGCGTACCCAGTCACCTTCAGGAACAAGTGGCAGACTTTGAGAACCAGTACAGCTACACCAGAACTAGAACTCCCTTTATGAACATTTTGGACAACAACCCGGATCCGACAGAAGAAAGTTTGTTTGAGTGAGTCCAAATCAGCCGTTTCTCAGTTTCAGCTCAGAACTTCTCTCTGCTTCAGTTTGTGTCTGAAATACGTTTGTTTTTAAACAGAGCTTAGTTTGTTTTCTGGCTTAGTTGATAAAAAGCCTTTCTGCTGCCATCTGTGTAAATCTAACAAGATGTCAGAGTGGTGAGATTTAACCACAATGGATGAAAAATAAAACTTTCCTGGGCACCCTTAGCAAAAATTAGTATACTTGAAGTTCATTTTAATAAGTATACTTGAGTATAAGTTTAAGTATATGAAGTATATGTACTTGTAGTGTACTATAAAGTATAC